ATTTTTTGATTTTGAGGAGGACTTTTTTGTCATTTGGGTTGCAGAGTTCTGCCAAGGAAATGGTGAAGAAGAAGAAGAGGGTGAGGAATGGGAGCTTGAGAGCCATGGATTTGGAGTTGAAGACAGCTGACTGGTGAGGGTGATATGTGGATGGATAAACTTGAAAGTCAAAGGGGGAAAGAATAAAGATAGGGTTGCATTTGAAGTTCTTTTTAATGGGGTGCAGAGGTTTTTTGTCAAGGAGTGGGGATGGGTAAAAATGATGCCACTATCATTGAAGACTGCAAGTAAAGTCAATAGTTGCGGCTGCAGCTGTGATGCATTTCAATATAGATATCAAAACAATAGAGTGGCTTGATTTTCCATTCAAAATGTGACTCATCCAATCTCGAACGCGCATCTCGACTAGTCTCATAAAGTATCGTCTGATCTTACAATATTGAACGTGAATTAATTTCTAAGATAAGTGGTGTTGGGATTGATAGAGTCAAATCACAATGGAAGCGGAAAAGAAATTGACGAAGAAAGCATGGAAAAATGCAAGGGAGCTGCATGGGCACACTACTTGAGGAGGCAGCGTTCGTACGCCACATCAGAGCGTCTCAACGCTGCGAAAGCGGGAGGATCACGTTGCACGAATCAAAGCGTTGAGACGGGACAACATCTCATTACTGTCGCAAAGAGGCGCGCGTTGGGCCTTCCATCCGTAGCGTTGAAACGCTAAGGACAACATCTCAACGCTACTACAATGTATTATAATACACATCATTCTGTTAGGGTCTGAGTTAGCCAAAATTGAGAGGTCTTTTCTGTGGCGTTTTGAGGCAGCGGCTCGAGGGTATTGGCAACAGAAGGGCAAGTTGATATCACTGTGATTGGGTAATTTATTCTCGATTATTTTAGTGTGTTTTCATTTATGTACCTAAATATAGTGTTTAGAATACTAAAAGCTAGAGTGCTTTTGTTGGGACCTGTAGAGGGTGAATATCTAGGGGAGATATTTGAGTGCTTGCTTGTATTCAATAATTTTCATATTAGTGGAACCCGTATCTGAGCGGAAGACTGGACGTAGCCATTGATGGGTGAATCAGTATAATTCTTTGTGTTGTTATGTCTTTACCTATTTTCTCATATATTGTTGATTGGCTGTTTGTCTGGATATAACTGTGGAAGGGAAAATTATGGAATTCCTAAATTTTCCAACGGATGATAATCATGGAGTTTGAATTGACACTACTAAACTTTTGCTTTTGTTCTTCTATAATTTTAAAATTACCTCATCATTGAATCCAGAGATTTTCCTTTAATCAATTACTTGAATCATCTATATCGGCTCATAATCGGCGTAAGTTTTGGAAAAAAAGATATAAGTCCAATAGAAAAAAAAATAGACCAATCGATCTTTCCGCTGCAAACACGATCTATTTGATTTTTTTGATTTTTCGCATGTTTAAAAGCATAAATAGATAAGTAAGTGACAATAATAAAAGAAATAAAAATAGAAAGTTTAACAAGGATTATAGTGATTCATCATAATTTAGGGACTACGTTTAGTCTTATGCAAAATTAGATTCTTACTATGTATTTGGAGATTACCATAAACTTCTCTCCCGATATCTCACTGGCTTGATTGCTTCTAAATATATCAACAATAGTTGTCTAGAATTACACAATAAGAAACACCCTCACCATATCTACTAGGTACAAAAATTTCTCTATTCCACAAACACTCAATTCCCTTTTGGAATTTGTATAAATAAAACTTAACAAAAAAGTTATATTTATATGAAGCAATATCTTAATCTTTAGATGAATAAACAGTAGTATTGAAAATTATTTTCCTCATAGGACATGAGCCGTCTGTATTGGCTTCGTTTCTCAACAATATTAAGATTGCTAGAGGTGTAAACAAAGTCCCACGTTGACTGAGAGAGCAGTCTATGAAACATAAATGGAAACAATTATCTCAATTAGTATGAGGACTTTGGTAAAACTCATCAAGTTGTATTGGGGTTGGAAATTCAACAAGAGGACGATACTTAAATTGCAGAGAGTCGGTCTAACCCGAATTGAAATTGACAAAACGTGTATCAATTTTTACTATAAACTTTCAATTTCATGAGATTAGAGCTTAAACGTATACAAATTGTACAACTTTCCATACCCATTACCATTAGGATGGGCGTATACTAAGTTTCTAATTTTGCAATTCCGTTTACCCCCAAACCCAAGAAATCAGTAACTAATTGAAATGATCTGATTCATTGTTCCAACTTTGTTCTGCACAATGGGCAAGAATTGTTCTTGTTCAACCATGAGAGGATGCATGATTCATGATACACATGACCGCACGGCATCTTAATCACCTCGCTCCCGCCATTCATCTCATTCAAACAAACGCTGCAATCTCCCAATTCTACTTCTTCTTCAACCTTCTCCTTCTTCAGCCTCGAGATCGCCGATTTCGCCGCCCCCGCCGGAGCTTCTTCTGCAACAATCGCCATCTCCTCGATATAATCCACCAATGCCACGACGTGCAGGTTCACCTGATCGCTGTTTCCGCCCGCCAATTCGACGACGAACGACGCGATCTTCCGGGCGATGACCTCGCAAGCGCCCTCAGGGAGATCCAGCGAGCACAGCAACTGCCGGATGTAGGCCTCGAGGAACAGCAGACCATTGAGCGCGCTCAGGGGGAGAGGGAACACGGCATTCGCCATCGGAGTCCACGAAGTTTCCTGGAGGATCGCTGCCGGAGATCGAGAGATCATACGGCTCTGGGACCTCAGTCGGACTTGCAGGACCTGATGCGGTTGGTCGCCGGAGGAAACCACGCTGCGGTGCCCGTGGAGGCAATAGCGGACGGAAAAAGAAGTGGAGGATGACATGATGACCTAAAGAGATGTGACTATGGTGGAAGGCCGAGGCCTGGATTGAGTTTTGTAGATGAATTGAAGGCAAAGGGGGTGACAAGATCATCCATGGGAGATTAGCGCAAATTAATTACGGTTACAACTTGCATTCAAATTTTTGTTCTCTGTTTTAAACAATCCCCCAATCTTTGGAATGTTTTTAAGGCTACTGTTTGTGTTTTTGTTTTATTTTTTCGGTTCTTAATTCTTAACAAAAATAATAAATAATAAATAATAAATCTAGTATGCTACGATAATTTATCCAAACAAAATGTAAAATATTGTACCATTTTTAAATTTGAACCTCCATAACTACTAAAACTATTGGCTTGGTTGAACTTAATTTAGATTTATATAAGTGGTGGACAAAATGCTAAAACCTTATTTTATTTAATGAGAAATCATGTTTGGATTGTGCTATAGAGAGTAAAATTAAGCTCGACATCTGGCTCTCTCCTACTTCGACACGTGTGTTTGAACCTTAGTTTAGGCACTCTAAAAGGTGAGAAGGAAGAGTTTGTGACTTTGGAAGAAGAGCTTAGCTCGGTTTCAACATGGGGAAGTTTTTGATCTGACGGAAAATTTGGTGACGTTCAATTGAAGGGCGATTCTGCTGTTAGAGGATCTTCTAAATTTTGGCGAGAAACCTGTTGAATGACAAGTTTGACAACCACAATGATAGATCATTGATCTCCAATCTCCAAAGCTCTGGAGCTTTCAAATACGGATCCCTTCCTCTAAAAAACAAAGTCTAACATTCTCAAATGTACACAATCTCTTTCATTTCCCACAAGCTATAACCTTGAAACCGGCTTAGACTTAATTCTAACTTAAACTTTGAAGTGTTGCCTTCATAGCTCGAATTGTTTGTTGACATGTCACCTTGCCTAGAATGGTGCATTAACAAATGGACTTTGATAACAAAATTGAAACTAAAAAACACGTAAAACATGTTGGCTAAAAAAAAGTCTTTTCGTAAAACTCTTTCAAATTACAACAAATCTAAAATAACAAAAATTGGTCAGGTATAACAATTTCTATTATAAATATTAACATTCATGGATTCCATCTCAAAATGCAACATATTTCTATTATAAACGCCTGTTAATTCCATTTTATTTTTAATGTGGGATCCTTAAGGAATGTAAATTAATATCCCATAATAATGAGAATTTAGAAGGATCATAATGCTCATTTTCTCCTTCTAGTGTGACCATCTTGAATTTGAGGGAGAGGTTTAAGTTTAAATCTATTTTCTGAAAGTGAACATAACTCAACTGTAATTGATATATATCTCTGATCATAAATGACCCTTAAAAGCGAAACAAATTTATATATGCATAACTCACTCAAATGTACTTACTTAAAATTGCTCAAACTCGTCTAAGCACACTCCATATCTTAGAAACTCACTCAAATTAACCTTTTAAAGCCAAGAAGTGTCTCACCGGGACCCGCTCGAAATACCACTAACTTATTTGAACACACTTCACGTCCCACAAACTCACCCCAACTAACCCTTTCAAAAAACTCATACGATCTCACTTCAAATCCCACTAACTTATCCAAATTATAAACATTAAAAAAAAGTGTCTAACTCACTTAATTAAACTACCTCTCTATTAGGGTTACAAATTTTATTGGGACATATGACTTTTGCCAACAAAATTTAAATTTTATTAGCAGAAGATACTTTTGCAACGAAGTTGTTCGACGTCTAGAAGAGCTAGTATAATAGAGGGAGAAAACTTAGAAAGTTGTATGAAAGATTCGACGTAGTGATCCTGATAGTTTCGGAGAGAGAGAATATATATAACATGCGGGGTAAGTGCATATTTTCTTTTGAACAATATTTAAGTGCTGATAGTTAGAATTTATTTTCAGGCACCGAACCACTATTAAAAATTTGACACTAACTTATTGTTTTTTTTTAAGGTTTTAGTGAGTAACACCCAAAATTCCAAACCATACAAGGCCTGCAAGTTTCATTCTTTTTAAAATCATTAAAAACAACAAACAAAACATAACATTGCCAATCATAAAAACTCCCAAACAATCACCAAATTCACAATAAACAATACTACTCGCCGGCTGAACTGACGGATCAAATACAAAAATGACACTATCACAAGCCATCAAAGTCGTCTTCCAATATAAAACAATGATAAAACCATTCTGAATTGATGGAGCTTCCATTTGAGTCGTCAATGGCGGATTTCCAAACCTTCATAATCCTCTTCCTCACATGGCTAGTTTCCACCATCACAATACGCTTCATCTTCGCCAAAAACAAACCAAAACCTCTCCCTCCAACCCCTAAATTTGCCCTTCCCATCATCGGCCATCTCCACCTCCTCGGCCCCTTGCCCCACAAAGCCTTCCACAAGCTCTCCTCCCGCCATGGCCCTCTCCTCCACCTCCGCCTCGGCTCTGTCCCCTGCCTTGTTGTTTCCTCCCCCGAAACCGCCAAACAAGTCCTCAAAACCCACGAGTCCTCCTTCTCCAACCGGCCCCGTTTGGCCGCCGTCGACTACCTCACCTACGGCTCGGCCGACTTCTCCTTCGCCCCCTACGGGCCCTTTTGGAAGTTCATGAAGAAGCTCTGCATGTCGGAGCTCCTCGGCGGGGCGACGCTCGACCGCCTCCACCCTGTGAGGCGGGACGAGACGAGGCGGTTCCTGCGGTCGCTCGAGACAAGGGCGACCGAGGGAGAGGAAGTCGACGTGGGAATGGAGTTGATGAGGTTGAGCAACAATGTGATATCTAGAATGATGTTTGGGAGGAGAAGTGGTGAGGGGGAAGAGGAGGCTGAGAAGGTAAGGAAATTGGTTAAGGATGTGGCTGAGCTTACAGGGACTTTTAATGTTTCAGATTATGTTTGGTTTTGTAAGAATTTGGACTTGCAAGGGCTTGGGAGGAGGCTGAGGGAAGTGAGGGAGAGATTTGATGATATGATGGAGAGGATGATTAAGGAGCATCAAGAGGAGAGAGAGAGCGAGAGAAATGGAGAGGATGGTGGGAAAGAGAAGGATTTGCTTCATATTTTGCTTTCTAAGTTTGAAGATGAGAATTCAGAAGTGAAGTTGACAAGAGAGAACATTAAAGCCTTTGTCATGGTAAAAATATTCCTTTGTTTTATACTTTTACCTTTCGAAAATACGTTCGTATCGGTTAAGGTAGACTTTTAACCAATATAGTTTCAATTTGATTTCTAGAATTTGGTCAAAATTTTGATTTAGCTTATGGGATTTAGTATATAGTTTTAGAGACGACAATTAATTGACCCAACATATAGATGTACATCGTGTAGTTAAGCTGACAAATGATAGTGATATGATCTCTCTTTCTCTCTCTTTATTATCTCAACCTTCTTTTCAAAGAGAAACACTTCATCTCTATTTCCCTCACTTTTGAGGGTCGTCAAACCTAGCGGGTAGTTTTATGCCTTTGAATGTGCAAGGGGAAAGTAAAAGCTTTTTCTTAATATGCATTTAGTGATTAAAAGGCAAGAGTCACATTGTGGCGATCATTGAATAGGGAAAATAGTTGGCTCGTTAGTATTGGTCCTAATCATCATTGAGAAATTGACAAGTCATTATTTTCTTAGAACTATCTGTTTTCCATTTTATCTCTCTTAGTCGTCAATTTTTCAATGATGGTCAAGAACGTATTGGATAGTTTTTGACCCTTCTTTGTCTCTATTCTTTCTCCTCTAATCAAAATCTCCCCCTCCCTTTCTCAAAAAACTTTTTAGATTGTGATGAATATCAATATTCATTGAAACCAACCTTAACATTCTCTCTCATGATCGTTGCACCTCTTTTGATTCATCGATCTTGGTCGGAACTTTTTTTTTTTTTTGACCAAATGATGTTTGAGCGTTTTAGGCTCTGATATTATACCAATTGACTATAGAGGAATAGTAGTCCATATATATTATAAACGTTTATAAGTACTTTTATCTTTTGTGAAATTCTTCAACATTAATACTTCTGGAATTCTTATCATATTGACCGTTCACACCAATAAAGAAATTGGGAGTAAACAAGTTTATGTTTCAAAAGTTATAAAAAAAATTAAAATCATTATCAAACTAGTATCTTGGAAAAAGAAAAAGTACTTACCTCTAAAGATTGACATGTTAGTTTTTTCAATCAATTTTTCAGGACATATTTGCAGCTGGAACAGACACATCTGCAATCACCACAGAATGGGCATTGGCAGAGCTAATAAACCATCCAAACATAATGGAGAAAGCCAAACAAGAACTCCACTCAGTTGTGGGAAAAAACAGACTTGTGGAGGAATCAGACATTGCCAACCTTCCCTATCTCCAAGCAATACTAAAAGAGACACTAAGGCTTCACTCAAGCCCATTGATTGTGAGGGAGTCATCAGAAAGCTGCACAATAAATGGGTATGAGATTCCACCAAAAACCCAGCTGTATGTGAATGTATGGGCCATCGGGAGGGACCCAAACCATTGGGAGAACCCGCTCGAGTTCAAGCCAGAGAGGTTTGTGGACAAAGAACGGAGTGTGAGTTGCGATCTGAGAGGACAGAATTTTCAGCTGTTGCCATTTGGGAGTGGGAGGAGGAGTTGCCCTGGAACTACTCTTGCATTGCTGATGGTTCAGACTACTTTGGGTTGTATGATTCAGTGCTTTGATTGGAAGGCTAATGGAGGAGATGGGAAAGTTGATATGGAAGAAGGGCCTGGCCTTACACTTCCTAGGGCACAGCCTTTGGTTTGTGTCCCAATGGCTTCTCTTAGTCCATTTCCAACCCTTTGATTAGAGCATGTGTTGAAGGGAAGGTCATGGGATTAAAAACCCAAGTTCTATAGAGTCAATTGGGTAGCGTTTCTATTTCTTATTTTTTGTTTTTTGTTTCCTCTTTTAGAATAAATGAAAAAAGAATTGTGTTTGGTAACTGTTTTTTGTTTTTTATTTTTTTAGAAAAGAAATATATATATAAACATATTTGGTAACGTGATTCTTTCTTGTGCTCTAAAATTTTAAATTTTTACATGAAAATTAATTTTTTAAATTAAATATTCAAAATTTTATGTTAGGTTTATATTTCATTATATTTTATAAGTCAAGAATGATAAAATAATTCTTTTATGCATGTTTTTATGCATGTTTTGGAAAAAAAATTAAAATTGAGACAGATAAGTAAAAACTATAATTCTAAAGAATCTAGAAGGAATTAGTTCAAACCATGATAGCCACCCACCTAATTTAATTCCTATAGATTTCATTGACAAACAAATTTGTTCTAGGGTAAAGTAGTTATTCCATGAGATTCTTCACGATGAGCGTAAGTTTTCCCGGACACTCACAGTTATCAAAAAAGCAAAAAAAGAAAAAGAAAAAATGATTTTATTCAATTTTTGAAACGTTTCATAAAAACGAGGAATGACAAATTAAAACAGTTACCAAAAGCTTATATACAGTGCGATAAACCTATACTTCCTCCAAAATGTTATATAATATATATTTTTCAATGTTATATGCTAAACTTGAGGTTATATCATATTATACTTTTGTATCCAACCTACAATATGATAATTATATACCCAAATATATGTTATATAATGAATACTGGCATATATTTTTTTTCTCCTTAATGACATCATCTATTTTCTCCTTCGAAAAAAATCCTAGACACCTCATTCTTCTTTTCCTTTCACTAGTTCTCCTTAATGACATCAACTGTCTTCTCTAGCATCGAGCAACAACTTGGCGGCGACAACCCTTGCGAACTCCCCGCGACCCATGCCTGGCATCCTCCGATGACCTACAGCGGCGTGTTGGCTTTAGTGAGAGAAAAAGAGGGAGATTAGGGTTTGATGTTGTGATGGAGAGAAAGAGAGAGGTGTATGTGAATTTTAAGAGAGATTTTATTGACTTTGGAATAAAGATCATATGGGAGGTGGCCTAAATTTTGTATTTTTTCTTATTTGTAATTTTTTTTATTTATTTGTTAAAAATATACAAACATTAGGTAGCTTGGTAATTTTCACATGGTCTTCATCCTCCATTTTTACAACTATGTAAATTATTAAGATTTAATTCATTTATGTGTAATTAGGTTCTTGAAAGAGTATGTATGTGTATTTATTCCAGTAAATTATATATATATATATATATATATATATATAAAGCACGTGAGAAACTGCACGAATCAGTAAGAATTACAAATTTCACACATGTGAGTAAATAGAGAAAAAAACACTGATAATCAAAGTACGCTACAAAACTGTAACTCTTGTTATGCCTCATATAAACCCCATTCTGATTTAAGTATTAGAATGTGTGTGGCTAATACCACACCGGTGTCTAATCTATCTTGTTTGCAAATCTCATTGAATTCCTTTTGTTCAGAAAGAGTAGTGCGAATTTGATAATTCTACTAAGTTAAACTTACGCATCAACGCTAGCATAGAAAGGGAGAGAACATTTTTAGAAATTGTTGGGGGTTAACTACGCACGACCGACCTGACTCCGGCAGAATTGAAAGAGCCGACCTAATAGGTCGGCCTCAACACCAGGAAAACGAGCGAACGGCCAAGCCTCACCTATTGCGACAGGGAATGGACCGGTTAATAGTAGGGATCGAAGGTCGTTCAGGAGAGCCCTGCCCGAGCAGTGGAATACGCTGATAGGACGGATATCCACCCCATCTACCACTATAAATACACCACTCACCTATGGGCCCAGGTATGAAATCTATCTGATGCTGAACCGTTAAGCTCGGATCAAACACTAACTTAGACGTCGGAGTGGCTTACCCCTTTGCAGGTACCCCGAGAGCTATTCTAAGTGTTGCCGGCCGACCTCTGAGCTTATCCTCCGTACCTCGGCAGGTTTTCGCACCAACAGTTTAGGCCATCTGTGGGGACGACTATCACAGCCATATCAAGTAGATCGCCCAACCGCTAGTCATGACGTAAGGTTCCCAAAATCAAGCAATCACCGACCCAAAGATCCGAAAGCTCGACTGGGTTCCTCCAAACCACCGGTAAGTCAGAAGTCGAAGACTCAAGTTTATTCCCAGAGGTCGAAGTCTTGCTTCCAGGTCGAGGTGATGTTCGACCTACAAGAAGAAATGGATGCCATGAGGGTTCAGGTCACAACCCTGACTGAGGCATTGCAGACAGCGGCAGTGCCGCTCCCTGAGCTCGAAGTCCAGTACTACCCTCGAAGAGGAAAGGCGAAGGCCACTAGGGTAGACCAGGTCGGTGGGACGCAACCCGTCAAAGTTCGTCCTTAGGGGAAACGATCGCCCTCGGGGGCAGGAGGACATGTGCGACCGTCTCTCTTTGTTGAATGAACGAGACCTTCGCAATGTGTTGGATTAGAAGTACTCCTCCAAGAGAGATAATCCCCTGACGAGGTTGGAGTCAGTCAACAATGTGGACCTATTGCTGTAGTTCGAGCAACTCTGGAAAGAGGTCAAGAATGACCTCTGGAAGGTCTAGGGGAAATCGGTCTCGGATGATGACGAGCCCAACGAGCCACCCTTCACCCAGGCCATATTAACCGCGTCGATCTCATCCAAAGGGAAGCTCCTGAGCTTCGATAAGTACAATGGATCCACCGATTCGGTGGACCACGTGGAGACCTACGAGTCACTGATGGATTTCCATGCCTACTCTGACGCGATGAAGTGCTGGGCATTCTCCGTGACCCTACCGGAGTCCGCAAGGAAATAGTACCGGCAGCTCTTGCCTCACCCCATTTCCTCATGGAATAAGCTCCACAAGACATTTGTTGCCCAGTTCGCAGCTCAGCAGGAGATTCAACACCCAGCCAGTGCCTGCTCACGATAAGGCTGAAGGTAGGAGAAAGCTTGAGGGACTACGTGAGAAGGTTCCTCGCTGCACAAATCATGGTTGCCTGAAACGAGGAATTCGCCTGCTCGGTGTTTGCTTTAGGGGTTCGACACGAGCAGCTCAAGTGGTCACTAGCCAAGAAACCCGAGCTCACCATCAAGGCGAATATAGAGTGAGCTAGGAAGTTCATACACGCAAGTGAGCTCATCCAGTCAAGAGAGGAGCCACTAAGAGCCAGCCCTACAAGCGAAAGGAGAGGTCGGAATAATTCTCGAAGGTCATCATAGCACCAGCGACGTTATGACCGCAAGTCTCGACAAAAACATGACCAGAAGCACGGACGACCTAAGAGGTATGATCGCTTTACAACTCTGAATGTCCCAGTGGCTGAAATCCTCGCCAACATACAGGATTCGAAGCTCGACCTACTCACCAGGCCCAATCCCAGGCGTCGAGACCTAGAAAAGCGCAACAGGTCGAAGTTCTGCCGCTTTCACAAGGACCACGGTTGATCACGATATCTCCGACTGTTACGAGCTGAAGAGGCAGATCGAAGAACTCATTCAGAAGTGGTATTTCAAGAAACATGTGGGGTG